TCTGAAAACTTTGATTGTCGATTTGCACGATTACCAGCAACCAGGCTTGAATAATTAAGTGGAAAAATTGGATGGAAGAAAAGCAGTTAGTAGCCAATTAGACTCATAAATAAGTAGCAAAACCAGTGTAAGTCGCCAAGTAAAAAAGTAGAATACATCGTACAAAATATCGAATTATCGAAATATCAAATTTTTATTTGAAATAGATGATTTAACGTACGCGTATAAATTCAACTCAGCTGAAAGTTGATCAATTTAATTTATATGATGTAATTTGTTCCAAGCAGACAAACGGATTAGCCAATTAGATAAGTCAATGGATTGAAATGTAAAAGAGCAACAGCGTTCAATTAAAGCTTGATCTAGAATCGTTATATAAATTTACAGTTTATTATTAACTGGTGAACATACATTAAATTTGTACAACTAATGTTTGTCATCGAATTGGTCATTAAATATCAGGAGCACACATTAAAATACTTATGGGTAAATATTAATTGCAATTCTTTTTAAAAATTTCTTCCAATAGAAAATTACATATAGCAATGGAAGATAAACGCAATTAAGGGATAGCATCCTGCTGGGTTTGTGCATAGGCGAGAACCAACAATGCTTGTACCAATCTGGGGGTCTACTATGAGACGGTTTGACGAGGGGAAAAGCATCAGCTACCAGCGATTTTGCATTGTTGCTTCACTAGGCCGTGGAAAGAGGGAGAGAATGATAGTATGATGCATGACACTGCAGCCTTTGAGATAGAAGGGGGCTCGAGTTCATCTATTCTTGTTGAAGTTTGGTAGCATATAGAAATGATTTGATTGATACATCAGATCTGGATATTCAGCTCAGTGTAAACGTGTATTAAGAATATATTGTTTCCACAACCAACTTTTTTCGTTGTACTACATTGGATTTTAAACATTTTTTCTGCTAATATTTCTGTTTCAAAAATGAGGCTTTTTTTTTCAAATACTTACAACTAAAAAGTTGTTGGAGAATTCAAACAATCATAATAAGCACATATAATATAATACTTGGTAACTTCCAAGTCTATCATAACTGTGAAGTGACTGTTTTAGTCTCTGTAAGTCAGGTTACTCTGTAATCAGGTGCACAAGCCATTTTCCCCTGAGCAAACAATACACAACAGATGAGCGATAAATGCACATACGCGGTGGACATGATTTGCAGCGGAAAATACACTGTGTCCGTGGATTACCACTTAATTCTCCTGAACTATTTGTCATTGATCACATCCAGAGTTATATACGTTATACACCCACCGACTAGCCAATAATGATCATAGCTCGAATGCGTCATGTAGAGCCGGTTATCAAAATCCATTGAATTTGAATGTAAATTACTCATTATGAGCTTATTAAAGCCTTGATAATATATTTCGAGATTTTTATGAGAGGGATTCTTGAAACCTCGATAAATAGAAATGATCGAAATAAAAAAAAAGCTCCAGAACTCGTTAACTATAATCGACATAAGATAATCATAACGATTCTTCCCCAACTTTTTCCCCTTTCCTTTCCCCGTCTCGGCTTAAACATTGTAACCGTAGGCCCCCCACGACGACTGCGTTCAAAATACATCCATACTTGAAGCCCTTACACCCGTCTGTCTCCCCTTTCCCTCTTGCTATCGTATTGTTTCGACTCTTTCTACACCCCCGTTTGTTTCTTTCTCTCGCCACTTTGGCTTTCTCCTCGTCGTCTCTCGCGCTAAACGCAACTACACGGCCCCCTGAGGCTGCTTGCTTCCGTCGTCTTTGTTTTCCCTTCTTCGCAGTGTCGTTTTGCAGCTGCTGCCGCTGTTACTCGCTCCTAAGCACGCCTTACTTTGTCCACCCTGTTACTAGATTTTTGATGAATAGTTTCTTTTTTTTTTACGATTGATTAAGTGTATCAGTAAATCATGAAATTTGTCTCACTGTATTTCTCAATACATACGAAAAACTCGTTTTCAACCTAGGTATAATTGTTTGACAGTCACATTTAATTATTTTGGAAAAGTTTGATCGTGTTTTAACGCATCTTTTGGTTGTCAAAGTTCAGGAGTACAGTGTTTTCAAACAGTGTTGACCACTAAAGGGATGTTACCTTTGGATCGGTACACCACACTATTGTGACAAGTCGGGTTGAACAATACCGATTTTGGTTTCCCTCGATGGCACCAAACCTCTAAGCATTGATGAACGTCTGATAAAACAACAATTCTACCGAGAAAGATTTTCCTCCCGATGAAACTGTCATGATTCATGGACCTCAAGGCAAAAAAGTCCTAAAGTTTAGACAATTTCATTTTTCAAACTATCACACACTCACCAACCACTGGAACGACCGAAAAAAATCTCATCTTCAGGAGTAATCAGATCAACACCTCGAGAAGGACAACAGATTCGAACCACCGATCAAGGAAAGTCAAGCAAACTCGGTGTGCAGGGTGGAGAAAAAATGCCATGCTGACGAGAAGGAGGAGAAAGAGAGACGATCCAGAAGATCTCCAGCCAGTCGAGTAGCCTCAACGCGCGGTGAAAGAGCCAGAAAGAAAACGTGGGAGGCGGACGGGATGGAAGAGGGAGCGTGGGCACGGCGGCATTTTTCCCCTACCCAGCGCTTGCAGTCGTGTCCGGGGAAAAAGCTCTCTCTCTTTCTCCCTCGCTCTTCATTTTCCCCCACCACTTTCACGATCCAACTGACGCAGGCAGGCACCGAAAGTGCAAAATCCCGGCTGCCGTTCCTGATGGAGGTAGAGGGGCTGGAGGGTTTGCTATGCGTGTACTACCTCGCGCTTTTCCACAGCTCTCTTTCTCCTTTTATGTAACGCGCTCAGCACCACCGGCAGTACCCAAGTAGTAGTAGCAGAAGTAGTAGTGGTGGTGGTGATGGTGGTGGTTGGCTGGTTGGTCGCCCGGTGGTGGGCTACGACGACGATGACGTCGACGACGGCGGTGGCGGTGGCAGCGGTGGTGTGGTGGTGGTGGCAGTGGCCTCAAAAATACACCGCAACCACACCGCTCGCGCGCTCGCGGCCAACCACCGCAGAAGCCGCCAGCCACCTTCTCACCCAACACTAGTATGCTCGTTCTCTCTCGCTCTTTCTTTCTCTCTCTTTCTGTTTTTCTCACTCACTTTTGCTTCCTTCACTATTGCACTCCCGAGTTTACACGTTTGACGCTTAGAGCTTGCAGAACAAGCGCGTCAGCTACCGATCACCGTACCGATTTTAAGGAACTTGCGGACTGTGCTAGTATCCGAAGTAAGGTGGCATGGTTAGAAAGTGACTATTGAGGACATCTGACGTGTAAAATCATTTTTGGATATTCTTATCTTCGTAAACATTGAAAAGTTCCAAATGGTGTATTGTTGAAAAGTGTTGTTTACTTCTTGTTGCGGTAAATATGTGTGAATTCTAGGATATTTGCCATCAATAGTGAACTGTGCGGAGATTTCAAGAAACTTTTTTTATCACTTGTTTGGAATATTTTTGTGAAGATACAAGTTTAAATAAACATTCATATAGTTCCATTTCTGTGAGTCAATAACTGTGGGAACTACAGATCATCAAACGGTCGTTTGTGATAAAGTAACATGTGTTATTGTAGCAAGTCAAGGAAAGAAACGAACGTTCATAATATGTATTAAAAGTAGGTTGAAATAGCCATCAAAAAAGACATTGAAAAATATGAATCGATATTGAGTAGCAGAGAAACCGGAGTAAAGTGGTGAAAAAGTATCGGCAAGTGGATGAGACGTTTGTATAAGTAACAGCTGCTTTTAGAATCAGCCAACCATGGATCTGGTATAAGTAAATTATTCATTAAAGAAATGGATGAGCAGAAAAGCGATCCTGATTACAGATCCATGAAAAAAAAAATTGCTCTGACCAATCTAATCACCTGTTAAATCGCATTCAGGACTTTGCAAATAAGCGAAACCTAACTCCCCTGCCACCAAAGAAGAATTAGGATTAAACAGATCACAAAACCAGAAAGAGTAAGGGGTTGGGAGACAAGACAGTTGTCCCGTATCCCCGAAGCAAGAGACACTTCTTGCCATTCCCGAACTCGACGACAAGTTCGATTCCAATAAAACGAATTTTCCTCGGGACTTGGCAATCGAGCTTCTCTTTCCTCTGGAGCGAGAGAAAAAAAAGATCAGCCTAAGCCGACTACAACCAACTACTAGGGAATGTGGGTGGATCGTAGAAGCCAGAGATGAGAATCTGCAAGCAGATCCTGACGGGATAATGAAATAAGGATCAAAGGCTCGGGAAGAGACAAGCAAGAGGTGGAGGAGGCTCGTTGGGGAAAACAATAAATCTAATTTCTCAAGACTTGTGTATTTCTCTCTCTCTCTCTCTCTCTCTCTCTCTCTCTCTCTCTCTCTGGCTTTGCGGCATGCTACGGAGTCTTTATTTTTTTCCGGATGTACTGATGCCGCTGCTGCTGCGTAAAGAGATGAATATTGCGTAACGACCTTCATTCAACGCCTCCAGAAAAACTGCGCACCCACACATTGTCAGGTAAGTAATGATTCTAATAGGGTTAATCGCTTATACGTTATTTCATTTTTTTTCATCCAACTGAACATTCAACTAATATGACGTAGGGTATATAATATATGCAGCAGTACAATGAGTTGAACATTTCAAATTCATAAATTTTATCTGGGTTCTTCAACTCAACTTTTTATATTTAAAGCTACAAATTTATTTTACAATAATACAAAAGATTGTTAAGATACGTTTATTCATTCAAATCATCGTAAAATTATTTATTTTTAAATATTTCTTTCAACCCATTGAATACTAAGTGCGGTGCTTGGAACATATTGAATGAGCTCTAATTTCTTCAAATTCAGCGTCATTAACATTGCAATGCATAATTCCAAAAAAGGTGTTTGAGGATATACCTTTGAGTTAATCGCTAAAGATGATGATGGATCAGTGCGCCGTGGCTATAACCCATCGATGACCCAAGTTGATCCTCGATGACGAATCCCTCGCGAGATGCACGAGGCGGCGTAGCAGTAGAAAGCTACAGTGGAGGCCTGGACAACTTGCGCCTCCAGCAGCAACAGCAACCAGAGCCATCGAACATAACAACCGTTCCGGCTCAGACGGTCCCATCCAACCATCACCACCACCATCAGCATCATTCACTCAACCACCACCAGCATCATCAACACCCTTACCATCATCAACGACACCATAATCACCATCAGTCACTACAAGGAGGAAGTGTAAGTGGTGTCACGAGTAGTAATAGCAACGGTAGATTGAAGAGGTCGAAGACATCGTCGTCGAGACGTTACAGCAGGATGCACTTGTCTGGTGAGACACAGACGCAACAGCAGCAACAGACGGCAGCACCGGCCAGCAGTCAACAGCTGCCCGATTACGCAATCACTGCCGATCTGTTGGCGGAAAGGACACTGGATGGTCTTTTGGCTGAACATCCAGGCGAGCTTATTCGTACAGGTAGGTCTGAAATGTACGTGCTAGTAAGTAGATCGAAATTCAAAGGGTTAGAACTAATGTGTAAAAAGGTTTCGATGTGAAACAGTGAACAATAGATGTTGAATCAAGCTTTGAATAAGAGGTTTGCTAAAGAAAAAGTGACAAGCAATCTGACACCTTCGATGGCACTGATAATCTACTTGTTTTAATAATCTCAGAAAAATACCTACAAAATAGATTTACGAATAGTACGAACGTTAGATCGAATCAACAAGAGCTTCAAATTAATCATTATTATTAATACCAAAGCTGGTGCACAATGTGTAATCATTACGCTTTTTCACTAGTGCAAGTGTAAACATCACTTGATATGCTGAATGGTCGAGCAACACGATTTTAGAAACAAGGCAGGTACCTTTAGAAAATTTTCCGAAAAATCAATAACAAACCGACACTGACAAACATTAGCGATTTTATCGTTTACAAGCTGGACAGTCACAGTCACTAATCTCAATTTTTTCCATACTTTTTTAAGCACTCTCAACCCTCTCTCTCTCACTGATGATGACAGTTATCGGTGAAAAAATCTCTCTATTTTATCACATTTTGTTTTTCTCGTTTTACTATTAAGGAAAAACCTTATAGAGTGAGTACAACCATTTATATCATGTTGGACTAAACTTTAATTTAAAGTTTTTATTTTTAATACAATTTTTCAATTGCATACGAAAACCAGTTTACAAGAACCTTATACTTCTACCGTAATAAAAATTGATACATTGCATGAGTTGTCGATTTACGTAAATAGTTAATTTATGGTATGAAAAGAATTTCACGTTCGTAGTCTTTTACGTGTACATTTTTGTGTATATCTAAAGGGTTTTTCATCGTGAAAAAATTTTCAATTTTAAAAATATTTTACGTTAATTATTCACAATCAAAAAATAGTATAAGCTGTTAGAAAATTGTCCATGTAAAAGATCTGTAAAAAATTTTAAACTCGATTGCTCCTGCTGCCCACAGTTTAAAAATATTGTTTTTTTTTTTTTATTTTAGCAACACTGTACATACTTAAGCTGACTTTCTCACACTTCTTCTGTAAATATCATTTGAATGTTGTGTAATGCTTCAGCTTTTGTTTAAGGGAGTTTTATTAGTTACAGACTAAACTATGAAAAATGGATAAAAATTTATTAACAAATGAATAAAGTCATGAAAATGACGCTGTCAAAATTTGAAGGCACAAGGGTTCCTAGGAACCAAGTAATAATTATTCATGTTTAACTAATTGTTACATGTACACTTATGGGCTGTTGTTTTTTTGAAACGCTTTTATTGCATTTACCTCTCTTATTAAAAATGTATTTCAGATAAAAATTTCATCAATGATAAAAAAGTATCTAATGATCATACTTAATTTTATTAAACATCTCGAGGGTACTAGTGAGAGAAGACATTCATTAATAAGGGAGGTGGAAACTACGAAAGGTTTTTGCAGGAGAGCAAGAAAGACAGACGACATACCAAACTATAGAGAGCGTCGCATGGACTATAGCGAGGAATTGAATCTCCTTAAAGCAAACGTTTCAATTAACCCTTTTTTGAGATAAAAAAAAATGCGTAACGCCATCGCTATAAAACGTCTACATTTTCCATTATAAAATTTAGTCAACAAATAAAAGTTTTTAAAAAGAAAAATTAGTTAGCAAACTATATTTTGCGCTCGTGACATTGTAAATAACAGTTTTGTCACACTAAAATTATAATCAGCTACAATTTTTTTGGAAAAATTAGCTTTTCTTGATTGCATTACTATTAAACATTTAATATAAGATTATAACAAGTCATCAAAGAAAATGTACATTTCTAATAGTCATTGAACTTACAAATTCATTCACAGATGTTCTACTAAATGATTTCATTGTTAAATCTAGGGAGACCAGACATGGGTAAACTTTGAATGATGCTTCAGATTTTTTTTTCTTTGCATTGCGATTCATTTTTATTTTAACAAATTCTAATCTTATCAGGTGCTTTGCTATTTCTATAGTAAATAAAAATTTTTCATTGAACATTAATAATAGTACATTGTCGACAAAAAATGAAATATCTTAGACATTAATGCATAGTATGGATGTGAAGCCATGATGGGAGATGCTATGTCGTACATTCCTAAATTATTTTAAGTGCATTCAAGAATTCCAAAAATCTATTATATTTTAATAAGAACGAAGGAAAATTTTCTAATTATTATTTTATAACGTGCCACCGAAGCCACGTCAGGATGCTTGTTTATAATAAAAAATTATATCGTGATAGTGGGGATCAGCGTGTACACAATGCAGAAGGATAAAGCCCTACGTACATAAATACCAACTCATACATGACACTATTAGGTAAACTATTAATCGACTTAACAATACCATCAATATTCATGACTTTCTTTTTTTTTAGTTAGTTTTAAAACATCTTAACATGGACTGAAATACACTTTTGATGTAAAATATTTCTTACTGATTTTGTTCACTATAAAATATCCACGTGAGCTTGCAGTATAATTTTATTTTTACATATGCCAACACTATATGAAATTAGATCTGTAAAGTTTTTTTTCTATTTATAACTATCAACCAGTATTATTTTTTTAATAAGTTCTTGAAGTTTTTAATTAATAAATACTTTTTACATAGTATTTTTTTCGAATCCACTTTACAAACAAAATTAAATAATAAAAAAAAAAAAAATTATTAGTTAAATTTGTTACTTTCATCAAATCTACCTTCAAATAAAGTTACAAATGATGTGTCAGCTTGAAAGTAGAAATTTTTTTATTTATTTATTTTCTTTGAAAACACAAGCGAAGTCTATAATAATTCTTTGGCAAGTCTTAACACGCTTAAATTACATAGTTGCAATAATATTTTGAGCGCTTAAGCCTTGAAAAATATTATTGAGTATTTTACTACTCTTACAAAAAATTTAGAAGAAATATTTAGACCACTTAAATTAACATATCATTTTTAACTTTTTTTTAAAAGTAGTTTTTAATTAGGATTTTACTCTTTTTGGTAAAGTTTTTAATGTATATTTACCACCTATTTGTCACTACTAACACAATATCGATTTTGCTAACACGTGTTGTCTAGCGTCATTAATACCTTATGCTTTTAACTTCTATGGCTTGTTTATGCAGTAGCGCGTAAAACATTTATTTCAAGCATAAAGCTAGAATTAGGTACTTGATAGATGATGCGTGGGAATGAGAAGTAGAACTTTTAAGTCAGAATGTCAAAAAACTTTTTTTACCATTTAAAAAAAAAAAAAATTTTAACAATAGATCAATTTAATGTTTATGAATTTCATATATTATTATTTTGTTGAATACAATATAATAATCATGCTTTATGTATGAAAGCTTGACATTTTATCTCATATTTAAATTAATTTCAATTAAAGCGTATTCTTATTTTTGCTTTCAATAAAAATGAATCAATTAAAATGATCTGTTTGATAATGTGTATTGTCTTAATTTTTGTAAATCCTCTTACAGATTCAGCCACAGTATTCTCAGCAATCAAAAATATAGCCTTAAAATACCAATACATCATAAATAAAAGAAATAAAGAGTGAATTCCTATTTTCAGATTAACACAGTAGGAAAATTTTAAGGCTATCTTAGTTGAGTAAGAAAAGTAAAACATTTTTTATACCCATGGAATAAAATTGGTTAATTTTGTCCCACTGCGTAAACTAAAGGTTCTACTTTTCCTCCAAAGGTATGAAAAATAGTATACACTCTACGGGAGGAGCGACAGAATCTCTATATCTCATATTTTTAACAGGTTCAATAAAAATGAGATCTGGGAAAGTCTTTACTTTTGCTTCCTAGGTGCGCAATGTATTATTTTCCAATCGCACTCACTTAAAATTACATTTCGTTTTTTCGATCTGTTCTGATATAGGTTCGCCGCACGTGGTCTGCACAGTTTTGCCGTCCCACTGGCGGTCGAACAAGACACTGCCGATAGCGTTCAAAGTCCTAGCGTTGGGTGAAGTAGGAGACGGTACTCTGGTTACGGTCCGAGCAGGAAATGATGAAAATTGTTGCGCTGAGCTGAGGAACTCCACGGCTCTTATGAAAAATCAGGTGGCCAAGTTCAATGACTTGAGGTTCGTTGGTAGAAGCGGTCGAGGTAAGAGATGATCTAGTAGTACTGAATGATAATGGATGTTACTATGTATATGTATTTATGTGCAAGGGGGTTTTACTAATTGGACATGAGCCAAATTAATGGTCCATTTATTTTTTTTGTTTTTGTTGATTGTCATTCATTATAGATTCACTTGCTCTGTAATCAAATTGGCTTTCCGTCAGTATATTTACTCAACACTTTGACAGTAATGTAAAAAATAAGGGTGATTAGTTCTTGATTTATTAAATATCTTACTCCACATGATAGTTCTGTAATAAAATAATACTTACGTTAACGTAGCAAAAAAGTTCTAAATTATACGAAAACAAATATATTGTAACAAATGGCTCCCGTGCTACAGTTTACGTATAGGCTATGTTATACTTTCTAAGGTACAATACTTATGGTACAGGCTTATGAAATTCTTAATAAGTTAATCTGATACTAAAATAACTTTTTGTTTGCAATTATCTAACATTTATTACTATTACTTCGTCTCAATAAATATTTCTTAGGAGTAGACTAAAAATAGATTTGATTCTCATGATTCCACTTGTCTTTTAATCAATGAAAGTTTTGTGGGAGTAAACGAATCAAGTGTGTAAAAGAAAGAATAACTATCAATGATTAGCAAAAATTAAAACAATTTTCTATGAAGCTTTCTACAATTTTCTTCTCACTCGTCAAGTAAAAGTACTCTCTTGGGTCAGTTTTACTCAAATTGCTCGTAATTATATTCCATTGTTGAATAAACCAATTAGGAAAAAACTGTTTAATATTTTTGTCTCTTTAAATATACAAAAGAATCTCTGGGTAACAATGGTTACTGAACAAGTTATATTATTCAGTAAAAAACAATATAATATTTACCATAAAAAGCTTGAAAAATAAAGTTGAGCTCAAATCCAAGGGCCCGATTCAACTGATTGTAGTCACGACGCGTCGCGACGTTGTCTTAAATGATTCAACCCTCAACTGCATGCAAAGGAAAAGACCAAGAGCTGAACTGAAAAAAAGTGGAGAGTTAAAAAAGAAGGACAGAGAAAGATATCCAGACATTAAGGCAGCCTCGGGTAAACGAGCCCTTATTCGGCCTCATTTTTAATTCACTGTTCAAATAATCGTGGCCGCCTTCCCGCCACCTCCCAATCTTGTCTTCACCCTCAACTTATTTCTTTTTCTCTCCCTTTTTCCTTCTTTTCTTTGGTGAGGACAGTTTTAATTCACCACTACAGCTGCCACTGCTACTCCTCCAGCGTCAATAATTCACGTCGCTCTTCTAGAAGTGGAAGACGCCAAGGACGATGCCGACGGAGGCGAGTAACGAAGAAATTTTTCTGAGAGCAGGAGTCGCTTGCTGCGGTGCCTCTTCAATAATTCGTCCTAATAATTGCAGCCGTTGTACTGATTTTTAAGGGCAAACTCGGGAGCTGGGAAAAGAGCAAACTTTTGCCAAACTTCGAGTCTTAGAGTGGAAGGAGGTGTTGGTTGGGAAAAATATTTGTGGGTGCAGCTATACGTGGTCGAATATAGGTTGACGATAGATGCGCAATCAAAGCATAAATGCTGACAATATTATGTACACTTTGTTTGACTTTAAAATATTTTGCTTTTTGAGGTTGATTTTCAGTACGTGAAAAATGAATTAAGTAGAACAAAAGACCGGAAAAATGGAGATAAGGAGCAATCAGAAAGTACGCAGTATTATTTTTGGGCTCCACCGAATTTCGCTTCTCTATATGTTCCACTTTTTTTCTCACCCCCAGCTGTGCCCATGCTCTTGCTCTCTGCTCAACGGATCCCTCGAAGAATCATCCCCTTATCGTATCTTCGTCTTCTTCGTCCTCCCCTTATCACCGTACGTATAAACAGCGAGAATCGAAGAGTTTTCGGAGCAAAGAAAGGAAAAAAAGTCCACCAAGGCGCGTTTGGTTAACGAGAGAGAAGAGATCAGCTTGTTTATGGCAAATTGGAAAAGGAAATTACGAGTTTTGCGATCGTTTTTCCTCGTCACCTTTTATTTGCGTCAGTCCTTCTCCGCTGGCAAGGGTCGGTTCTTGCTTTTCAAGAAGTTCGCATCTGTGATCCCACAAAGTGCATTTTTATTTTTCGTAACCAATATTTTATAGCCTTTCTCTATACTAATGAGATATATGAGTACAAAAATGAAATGTTTAGCTAAGATAGCTTGCAAGCTTGCGAGTTTGCAGAACAAAAAAATTAAACGACTAGTAAGGTTTGCACGTTGGTTCAGAGCGTCAGGTATAATCATTCGACTGTCAAAACAAGAGAATCCACTCCAGTCACAGTCAGATGGATTGCAAAAAACTCAACGCACTCAGTGAAATCGGAAGTGATCAGCCAACGAAAACACGAACGGGAAAAAAGGAGAAGTGACGAAAAACGCGATAAAAGTCACTCAGGCGCTCTAATTCAATCCAAATTTCTCTAGCTTGATGACACCGGATGCAAAAAAAAAAAAAAAAAAAAAACGATCCAACTGCACAACAAACAGAGCGAAAAAAATCTCTGCACGATCAACCAAAACAAACACATCCGAACTCGCCACTTTGACTGCAAGGGAAGGACACCTAATACCATCCTATGCTCGTACATACGTGTACACTCCTACGCACATAAATATAAATGTATGCCTATACAGGCAGACGGACTCTATACGCCAGAGATTCGAAAACTGTCAGAGATATAGCCACCAGGCCCGTGTATACGTATATGTAAAGCATCAGACAGAGAGAGAGAGAGAGAGAGAGAGAGAGTGAGAAAGATAGTCCCTGCGAGGAGGCGGTTGAGCGTATAAGCGGCTTTGGTTTCCATGGCAGTAAGCCCTCATTACTGCATTACAGGACCGCTCTGCCCTGGCTCTGATCTCTATCTCTCTCAACAGCTGATATAAATCGAGAGTATGAGCCTAGCGATCAGGTGGGCTTTCTCTTTTCTCGGGCACACGTATGATCTGCGCATCTGCAAACTGACTGTAAGATAGGCACTATCTTCACGTATACTCTAATTAATTGTTTTAACATGGTATAGAGACAGTGATGTCATGGAGATGGTGTACGTGTCATCGGACAACTCTTGAAAGTTATTTTGATTTTTTTCACTATACCAATACATATACACGTGGTAGTGGTTGCAAAGCAAGATCTCGATAGTACACTAACGTTATTGTCTCTATTGCCTTAAATAATTTTTTTGTACTTCAAGATAATTATTTAATGTTGGAAAACTGTAAGCGAGAGAAAGTCAAATTCATAGATTTTACCAAAAACTAAAAATGTAAGGAATATTAAAAGAGAAATACTTCACACGTAAGACAGAGTAAAGCCAAGATGACCCAAATACGCAAAAAATATTTTTTAACCCCCTGCGTATTCCCTGCTGTACCCCACATCACACATGCGTCGAGTATTAAGCAAGTCTCTACGCATGCAGTAGCAGCTAAAAAGTTTACGGAAGAGCGCAAACTCTTAACAGAATGGTACAGCAGTAAAAAACAAAGAGAATGAAGAGGGATGGGTAGGCTGAATATTATCGTCCCAATGCAGGGAGCCTATATCAGCTCTGCACCCCTTTAGAGCTGCCCCACTCACTATATACGTATGCACGGATTAACGTCAATCTCTCTTTTCTCTTTCTCTCTCTCTTCAAAGCTCACATATATATATATATATACTATGCACATGGAGAGAGAGAAAGAGAGAGAGAGAGAGAGAGAGAGTACTGAAGACTATGGGCTTTGAAAAGAGTGCTAGTATTGTATTTTGAGTGGTTTTCTCTCATATCTGTGTGAGTGTTATTACAGCGTATTCTTTTTCATTGTTTTTAACGCATGCTTAGGTTTGACCATTAAAACTAGATTTTTAGCAAGACTATGATTTTCATTCATACAAAAAAAAAAAATTTATTTTTTTCAACTATGAAACTTTTGTAGTAATGAGATAACAACAATAACAATAACAATATAAAACAAAGAAAGCAAAAATAACAATAAGTATAGGCAATGTAAGAAAACTAATTTGAAGTAAAGTTAATTCAACCATAGTATGTGAGGACTGCAACGAAAGAGCAGTCAATATCCCTTCTCTATTTTTATCAATTTTCAACTGCTAAATATTATACAGCTACTGTAAACAAGGCATATGCTGATGTCACTGTCTTTAGATGACTCAGTAATAGTAACAAGAAATATTAAATTCTATTAAATTTTCTCATTACATTAGATTCATGTTTTAATAAAACATTCATTCTTGTCTCCTAATGACGTTATTAAGTGTAAAAAGTGAAAAATTTAGTATTAAACTACTTCATCTTGTTTTGTTAATAAATTAACCATGATGAAATAACACAAAAATACAGTAGCAAATTCTGCAATCAGTCAATTTAAATAGAATTAAATTTATTAGATAGACTGAGAGAAATTTTTTATAAATTTTATCGTAAATGCCCATAAAAATTACCGTGTGGAACGGTAAACGTGGAACTAGGTCGTTACTCCGGACTTTTTACCTAACCTTAACAATTTTTACCGTTACGCCCAGTAAAAATCATCGGGTGCCCAACAAAAATTCCCTTTACGACTCACGAGCGAATGTTCACTGTAGGTAAAACAGAGACCATAGATGAATTGCATTGTATTTGAAGCAATAAAATTATTATAGTATTATACATTCTTTATTATAGAATATATNAGCAATAAAATTGTTATAGTATTATACATTCTTTGTTATAGTATATACATTCTTTAAAAATTTTATGCATATCGGGCAGTCCGCTTGCAATGTCAAATCAGCTTAGGTTATAAGTGTTTAAATAATTGATACATTTCAATTATTGTGAAAAAATATTTATTCAAAATGGTACAATGTCCAACTGGTTACATTAATAATAATAAAAAAAAAAAAAAGAGTACAGTGATAGCGTACTACAATCAAGTAGTTAAAAAAAAACATTTTTTGTCGCATCTTGTATTGACAACAAAT